CAGGGGGGGGGGGGGGGGGGTTAGCACAGCTAATGCCTACAGAAAAGAAGGCATAGTTTGTACTATTTAGTCTGTGATGTAACAAGCCAATTACAGTAGTCTACAGAATATATAAATAGAGAGAGAGAATATATATGACTAAAGCACAAATACCCTTCACATTTATATATAGCAACAGAAATAAGGAACTCCTCACACTGACATTCCAGGTTGCCTTTAATACACAATATTAGACGCAAGCCCAGTCTAGAACTTACAGCGCAAGGCCGCCAACAGTGTACAAGGGCCATTTATTCTCTAATGGAACATTATAGGGGCCGGCACTGCTATTGTGCAATCACTTCCCCTTTACCGTTCCCGCAAGGCACCCTCTTTGTGCAGCTAATAGAATACCGCTCCAGCTAACAGCTACCTCAAGCGTTTTAGGCATGCTGTGACACTCTGGAGAAGTGAGGATTTGACCACAGCCAGGAGAATAATGTCAAACTTTGAGCGGTTACACAGTGCGAACAAAAATGGCATGAACAGGTGAAAGGACGGTCAAGATAAGCACTCAATTAAGGGATTCAAATTAGAAGGCGTCACCTATGTTAATTCAGCTCTGTAATCATAAGCAACAAAGGTCATATGAGTTGCTGAAAGAAATGAGTGCACAAGCAGTTCAGTAAGATGTTAAAATGAACACACATATGCATAGGGAAACAGGCAAACGTTTTCCAGGCATCTTCTGTTAAAACAAGCTTGGCGAGGCATGGTTGAGAACCAAAAATAATGACCAAATTTCTCCCCTTCTTTCAACAACAGCTCCAGCAGTCACAAGCAGAACAAAAACAGTCAACGCTCCACATGTGATTTATACGAGCAGACACAATGCTGGGCTGACTTGTGCACACGCTCCAGCATGAGGCAAGGGAGATGCGGAGTGAGATGATGAGAACGTCTTCTTGGGGAAGCTTTGTCAACAATAAGGTATCCAGTATCAACAGGTTACAAGTTAAAACCTATAAAACAATACAAATAATACAGACCTAAAAATGAGTTTCAAGATGTATATTCTATGAAAACAAGCCTTGTATTATGCAATATTGACTAACAAATTTGACTTTGGTTGAGCTTGCAGAAGGATTTATGCAAATGGTAATTATTTGACTATTAATGATTTAATAGTTAATTGTTATAAAGAATTAGACTACCCTTCAAATATACATTGCATCCGAAATCAAATACTTCTCTACTATATAGTATGCGAAAAACAATATGCGAAAAAAAAAAGAGTAGTATATCTGAATACACAGTATTCGAAAAGTATACAAAACTGATGCTGTAGGTCACATGACCATATCAATATGGTGGATGTAGTACCGAATTCCATTCATACGACCCATATTCATACTATACAGAAAATATGGTAACACTTTGGAATATGGAAAACTGTTCTGTCATTAATGAATAGCTACACAAGAACACATGTGTAACACAATATTAGCACTCTAGTAACTACTAGTAACTAACAAGTAAGTAATATTGAATTAGTAATTAATAGTGCTTAACCTAATGTTGTAGTTCACTATTAGTTAATCAGGAACTACTATTTTTTCCATACCTCCCCAAGAACCACTAAGAACTACTGTAAACAGGTTCATAATTAAAATTAATAATGCATAATGTATAATTAATTCTAAAGTGAAGGTCATGGTAACCCAACTAGTGACTCAAGTATTACCAAATTCTTCAGAAGGAATTACTTATTATTTGGATCAGTATTCTAAAGTGAATAACACGATAACTCTCTAGTAATTACTGAAATCATTGGACGCTTTTGACGTTTTTGTAAGATTCTTGATAGTAATTCCTTTTGTTAGATTTGGTAGCACTTGAGTCAATACTAGTGGGTTACAGTGATCTTCACTTTAGAATACTGATCCAAATAATCAGTAATTCCTTTAGAAGGATGTAGTAACACTTGAGTCATTACTATCAAAGACCTTACATTCATGTATATCTCAAAAGCTTACAATGACATCAGTCAATATTAGGGAGTT